ACCGCATACCAAGAAAGGTGACAAATTAAGAAACCAATAAGGCAGAAACCAATAAGCAGAGCTGGCTGGAGAATTCTGGGAGTTGAAGTCCACACGTCTTAAAGTTGCCAAGTTTGGGAACCACTGCAATAAGGGATTGTATCATATTATACAAATGCTAAAGGTAGAAGGTTGCTTTGTAAATAAATTTATTCATGAATGAGCACCTCTGCAATGTTAAATGTTATCATTGCACTGCAGTATCAAAAGAGTTGGGAAATATTTAACCTAGAAATTTGGAAGGCATAATGAGAACAAGATAGTTTGCAAAGATAGAAATATATCGGGAATTTTAAACTAAAGTTACCATGTTTATCTTTTTCCTAATCATGATTTTAATTGCTTTGGCATACATGTAGTCCTTGACTTACAACAGTTCATTTAGTGAGCTTTTGAAGTTACAAGAGGATTGAAAAATGAGACTTATGACAGTTTATGACACTTATGACGGTTGCAGCATCCTCGTGGTCACATGATTAAAATTCAAATGCTTGGCAACCGACTCATATTTATGACAGTTGCAGTGTCCTGGATCACGTGATCACCTTCTGTGATCTTCTGACAAGCACAGTCAATGGGGAAGCCAGGTTCACTTAATACTATTGTTACTAATGTAACAATTTTAGAGATTCATATAACAACTTTGCAAGAAAAAGCATAAAATGGGCAAAACTCATTTCAAAAATGTTTTATAAATGTTGGGCTTAATTGTGGTCATAAGTCGAGGACTAGCTATATCATTTTCTCTACTTTTTATAATGCTTACTCTGAAAGAGAATTGAAGGTTGGATATGATTTGTGTTTCCAGAAAGCCAGGATAATGTAGGAACCATGATTTTAAAGAAAAGGACAAGCAGAGGAGGAGGAGGAAGATCTGAATACTGTACCTCAGTAGCAGTGCTCTGATTGGCTCCATTTTCCAAAAGATATTTTACTACATCGATATGGTTTTCCTGCGCTGCCATGTAGAGGGGTGTGAAGCCATTCTAAGGGGAAATAAAGTAATATACAAGCCATAAATATTAAAAACCAAAGCAACTTACACACAAAATAATGTGATTTGTGAAGCCTGCTCAAATAGAATCCAAAGAAAAAACAAATAAAACTTTCCACTGAAGAACTCAATTCTAAGAAATATCAGGTACATTCCAAATCATCTTTTGGCAAAACTATTTTAAAGCTTGTACCTTTTTAAACATTTAATTTATTAACGTAAATATCTTTGAGCCCTATTAAATAAGTATTAAGCATGAAACATGAGATTGTAGTGACTTTATGTGGTTTTGTAAAGCTTAATATACCCTCCATATTCTTTATGCAGCACTTAAGTTAATTTAGGATGTGCTGCAAGAATTAGGATTTTCAAATAAATAATGTAAAAGTTATAATATTTATGAAGAAAAGAAGAAAACTATTATTTATTTATTGTATAATTAAAAGTAACTCACTGTCTAACATAGAACAGTGACCTTAATCATGGCAGATTTATGGACTGGAACAATATATATTCCATGGCACTATAATATAAGGAAAAACTGTTTTGATTATAACAGGGCTGCAAAAGAACTTTTACAACTTGATATCCTAACCAGGAGTCAAAAATGTGAACTCAGGACTTAAGGGGAGTGCAAGATTGATATTTTTAAGGAATGCTTTGAAGAATAATACAATTTACCCTAAGTATCAGATTTAATTCTTATAATGCCACAGTTTACAAAATAGAGTCGTGAGCAGGGTATTAACAGAGGAAAATAAAACATTTGTTTGCACTTTATGTATATATTTGAAAATGACACTGAAGCATCTCATTAATTAAAAATAGAAAAAAAATTGTTTAATTCATCCAAGAATAAAACCTAAAGCAATATTTGCAATACACATTTTATTGGTTTTGAGAGCATCTCATTAAGTTATATAGAAGCAGTACTCTGTATATTTTAATATATTTTTAATTCAAATGTGAATATAGTTTTAAATTATTCACTGTGCAGAGCATATAACATAATAATTCAGAACAGCTTGATGGATTTGTATTATGGTTTTTGAACACTAAGTCTTGCTATTTTTGTTTCAGGATTATTACATAGTTCTTCACTTTGTTTTGAGGTCAGCTTGCATTTCCTGGAAATGCATAACATTATGATAATAAAAATGAATCATTAAACAAATTCTGTTTGTCATGCCATTTCACTTTTAGCTACCATATGAGCTCAATTTAAAAAAAAACCTCAACCAGTCATAGCATGTGTGATATGAAGTGCAACCTTAATGTACCATAAAAAGATGCAGATTTACACAGACATTCATTTTAATGTATAAATATCAATCAGAAAACAAAGAAATTGTATTTGCAAACCAAACTGGACTTCAAATAGCTTCAAATATGAGAATATTTATAGAAAGACTGCAGACTATATATATATATATATATATATATGTTGCAATTGTGCTGATA